ATTTTATTAAAGAAACTTATTTATAAAGATTGTCAGGATAGTTAAGTATATCTTTGATATAATTGGTAGGACAGTTGTGTATATCTTTGATATAATTGATGTGGTAGTGATGTAAAGGTGAAATGCTTACCTCATTAGCGATTTTGATTCCAACCACATCCCTGGTAGTACCGCGTTCAACTTGTTTCTCTGTGCAGTACCTTGTTTGTTGAGGTTGTTTCGGAGTTATAGAGTTGAGAGAGGGTTGTAACCACACACACACACAAAAAAAAAAGTAGCGTCCTCAACTGTAGTGGCCTTCTCGGCCTTGGGGTGGTGAATAATAAAAAAAAAAATTTAATTTTTGTACATAATGTATGCATTTTTTGTTATAAAAATAAGTGTTTTTCATTAAATTTTTTTAAGCAAATTAGGTTTTTTGGATGTTTAGCATAGTACTGTGGATGTTTAGTGTAGTGCTATGGATTACTGAAATTTAAGGCACAAGAGACAAGGTTCAAGGATCAAAACCTTTTTTATTTAAAATTGTTTCCTTTTTTTATTGTAATGTTTTATTTAAAAGTAGTTTTACATTTTTTAATTATTATTGTTTATTTATAGTTATGTGAATTATTTATTTTTCAAAGTTTCATAGAATAAGTGTATCAATGTGTACATAAATATAGTTGCAGAAGTAGCTGTTGACTGATTTAAATAGGGATAGACACAGTAGAGTATACATACATAGACTAAAGAACAAGAATTTCTTTTAAATAAAAGATATTTCAATATTTATTTAAATAGGGTTCATAAATTAATTTATATAAAAAAGTTAATTAAACTTTTAGATCAAAAAAATTAAAAATAACTCATGTTTAAATGTACACCTGTACAATTAAGAAAAGGTTTTATGCGCATACAAGTAATGCCTTTTTAAAAAATATATAAACTAATGTATGCGGTATTAAAAAAAAAAAAAGCAATACATGTTTTACAAAACAAGTTCCATTAAATATATTCTTAGATGACTAAATAAGAATTTTGATATGTGTACTCAATGTAAGTTGACAAAAAAAAAATGCTGTTAATTATACTTTTACATGGTTAAACAATGCAAAACAATTTTTGTAACAGAATCTTGATTAAGATAATAACAATTAAATAACATTAAATATGTCACAAAACCAATTATACCAATAATCAATCTTAAAATATTAGAAAGATTTTATTCATATTTTTAATTCGAATTTTGCTAAAAAAAAATATAAAGAATTTCTAGATTTCTTGTCAAAATTTTATAAAATATGTCATATACAGGCTTTCCCAGGAAAGGCGTGCGGTCGCACGCCTTGTTTGTCCACGCATAGAATAAATTTTTCAGAAAATGTGACCGCGGCAATATTTCGTAAGAAAGCGGAAATTATCCACAAAGAATAAAAAATAATATTAAAAAAAGGAAATGAAGTCTAAACAAAGTATAAAATTGAAATTGGATGTAAGAAAAATATTTTGATAATAAAAAAAAAATTTAAAAAAAAAAAAATTCTTGTAACAAAAAAAAGTCTTGAACACTTTTTTCAAAATTTTTATACTGTTGTTTTCTTTTATTAGGGTCGGTTCAAAAGTAGGTTCAAAAGTAGGTTCAAAATTTTTATACTGTTGTTTTCTTTTATTAGGGTCGCTATTTTCAGCTACGAAATTTGATACAAGTCAAGGAAAAGACAACGATAAGTCATAAAGTTTTCACGAAAATAAAAAGACTTAATACGTAATTTATTCACGAACTTTATCAGACATTGTATTAAAAAACTTATTTATTATTTACGCTAGACAAATTTGGTTAAACTTTTTCATTTAGTTTAGTTTTTACGAAGGTTTATGCAAAGGCAATGACTTTATTCCCCAATACTTAGACAAGAAAATAAATTGCTGTTTTAATTATTAAATATATTATCTAAGATTTTAAACATAACAAAGTTTTAATGTGAAAAAAGTTCTTTCTCGACTTATTCTAAACTGATTATATTGAGTCAATGCTCGCCTTTTATTACGTTGAAATTATTCAATTGCATAATTTTGTAATTACGAAAGAAGTTAAAAAAATAATAGCATTGCTTCTGTTGTCATTGTTACGAAAACAGTTCCTTCGGGACATTATTATATATTAACACTCGTTCACAATGTCAATTAATGATTGCAAAATAAGCAACTCAATCGTTTGACAATAAAATTTTCTTTCATTAAAAAAAAAAAAACATGTTTTACTAATAAATAGCAATCGTTTTCGTGTTTTCTTGCGTATCAATACATTCAAACATTAAAATCAATACATTTAAGCATTTAAATGTATTTACGAAACATTTAAAAATTATTTATAGTTCTATCGTGAATATTAAAGTATTACTGACTGATAAAAGTCATAAACAAATTTTAAATTAAAAAGTCCTTTTATTTTCTTTAAACATAATTCTTTTTCTTTTTGATTTGAGTTTTCTTATTGATTTAATTTTTCATAGCTTAAATAACTACCACACTAAAAAAATAAATAAATAAAATATAGGTAAAGTTTTTTTTTTAATAACATACATTAATTTTTTAATTTTAAAGCACAAACAGATTTCTGTTATTTACTTTAAGGTTGCTTGCATTTTTGCGGTATTTTGTCTTGGCGCGAATTCTTAAAACGCATAATAATAAAACGTGGTCAGTTAGTCAGATAAATTTATTCTATGCGTGGACAAACAAGGCGTGCGACCGCACGCCTTTCCTGGGAAAGCCTGGTCATATACTAAAACTCTTTGGAATTAAATAGAATTAAACATGCTTTAATAAATAATTTTGTAGATTGCATCAAAAAAAGCGTGTATATTTTAAAATCACACTAAAAAATGGAGGTGAGCTTGAGCTAACTATAAAGTTAGTTTTTCTTGGTGTACATTTGTTATTTTGTTTTAATAAAAAAAATTCAGCGCAAACATTTTTTTAATTTATTCTCTTTAATATGAACACAACTTGTCTTGGTAAATTGGGATGCCAATATATACGTGATTCAAAGCAAACATATAAAATCATTTTTTCAAATATGCTTTTTCAAAAGTACTAAATACTTTCAGTTTGTAAAACGTGATTTAAAGCAAAAAAATAAAGTCATTATTTGTTAGTTACTCTTTAAAATTTATAATTAAATTTGTTATTCAAGAAGTTTCAAATAGCATTGGGTTTTTTTCCTGTATTGACAAATTTAATTTAGTTATTTCACATGGTTAAATAAGTTTTAAATTTTTTTTAAATTTTCTTACTATTTTCTTTAATCGAAAAACTATTTTCTTTATTTTGATATATAACTTGTGTGGAAATATTTTTCAAAAGAAAAATGAGGTGAACAAGCTAAATGTTGGAAATGTGCAAGTTAGTTATTAAGTTGTAAGGGCTTGTCAACAAGTAGGTTCAATAAGACAATTGCAACATATTCATAACATTAATATTAGGATAAGAAACACCAATTTGAAAAGAAAATCAAACTGCTGTTCCAAATAACTGTGAGACTTTTGGCCATTGATGGATTTTCAATCCACGGAATATGCAAAGGTAAGTTAATTTGTCAAGCATTAAGTGAAAAACACTATTTACAACTATTTTTTCAGATGTCGTTGTATCAACCACTGTACCAACTGCTGCAGTCCTGATTATTTGAGAGATGTCAGGTTTTGTCAGGTTTTATACACCAATTACGTTATAACCACAGCATACACTTGTAATGGACATTATTTATAAAAGAAATGAAAATCCTAATGTTTGTTGATTCTTTAGAAAATGATTCTAATTTTTCCAGCAACAACATTAGTGAATCTGAAATCGAAAATAATAATCAAAATAATTTCAAATCCGTATAAAAAAATGATATAAATGTGATTTTACAAATAATTACAAATAGTTGTTAAATTTTTTAAAATTCATTTTACAAGGCCTTGTAAAAATAGAGCACAGAATTGAACTTTGTTTACAGGTAGTTTCAGTTAATCAAAATAGCTGTATAGGCATTAGGTAATTTTGCAAACTGCTGATATAATTTTAAATTTTTTATTTGATTCCCTGCTTGATAACAATAATGCAATTTCATTGCAGATATTTTTATCTCTGTCTCTTTGCATTCAAGAAATCAAGATATTGTGACTTTGATTAAATACCTTAAAATACTTGATTTTTAACTGCAGCCCCTAAGCTACTTTCGCTATCAAGAGCTGCAACTATTTGTTATGGGAATGACTATTTATTAGACTATTCAGTGAAGATGTCGATATTGAAATTAAAAGTGAAATTTCAACTGTTTAACAGTTACAAATATTAAAGACAGATTGGCAATGCAGCAAATTTCAAACGTGTATTACAACTAAAGATTCTAGAAAAAATTTCAAAAAAGAATTTTAAATGTATGAGAATATGGTAAATATTACAAATAATTCAAAAAAGCTACTAAATGCCCTACTAAATTTGCACACAACTAACCTCAATAGAAAATGAAAAGAGTATTTTTATTGTCATCAAATTCCTGCATAAAAACAAAGATCATCTGTGGCTCAACTCGAGACTAACCTTACAATTTAAAAAAGTTATTTCCAAATAAATTAAAAAAATATTATAGTTCAAAAACTTATTCAAAAGAAATTAGTTTTTCTCAATAAAAGTATATACAAATTTTGTATACACATACAATTACAAATCTTGTATATACATACAAATTTGAAATAAAATAGAAAAGCTGTTTTGTAAACAAATTTTAGTTGTGGTTAGCATTGTTGTGTTTATATATTTATTGAACAAATGATTTTTTGCCGGAAAACTATTAATCTTTATATTTTTTACCCAGGGAATACCCAGGGAAATGGGAAATTTAAATTACTTATTTTACTAGATAAAAAATATGTCAGGAATCAATATCCTCCATTCTATTAACAAACTATAGTTTCTTAAAATAAATTATATTCAAATTTTAAAAAATAAAAGTGAAAAGATGATCAAACCTTGAACTGTCAAGTCCATTGATTTATTTGCAACATTTAAAGAACTGTTTGCATAACAAGTGTATCTACCGCTAGAATTTCGTGATATCTGCACAATACTGAGGGAAATACAATTATTGGATAAAATTGTATTCAAATTTTCTTTTCCTTCACTATACCAACTTAGATTTGCGTTCGGTAAACCAAGATCAGTTGTACAGCATTGAACAGTAAAGTTTTGTGTTATTTTGACATTAACAACATTTGATATATTATTAGAAAAATACAGTGCATTAGGAGGATCTATAATAAAAATATAAGTTTAATAAGTTATTATTAACAGATATTTATAATTACTCTATTTTATCCTATTTAAACCTAATATATTTATACCTTCATTATATTTTATTAAGGCAGAAAATAGAGTCTTTTTTAAAAAAAATCTTTATTACTTATTACAAGAAAAAATCACATTAAAGTATTTACAACTATTGTACTTTCAAATAATCCTAAAATAATTATAAGACGACTTATTTGTGTGGCAAAATCAACAAAAACTACTTTAATTTGAATTAATACAACAAAAATAAACAAAATTAATCAAAAGCTAAAATAGTCTAGCAACATGTTAATATCCATTTAAACAATGTTAGTTTTATAAGTTATATTTGTATCAGGTATTAGAAATACAGTGACAACTGGTAATAAATCATTACTTATGATAAAAATTAAATTAATTAAAAATAAAAATTTGATAAGACTAATAAACAGATATTTATACTTACTGTATTCTTTTTTATCCTGTTTATTTAACCTAATATTTTAATCCTATTAAATAGGGATCTTTGAATACAATATAAAGAAAGTATATACATTATATTATTAGTTTAAAAAAAGTAGAAAATATGAAAAATCTTTAAATAAGATCTCCATAACAGGTACTTTCCAAACTTTGACTATCAATATGTAACAAAAAGTTAAATACACTTTTCAACAAAAAACTTTGAACAAAAAATGATAAGTATTTTATATATACATACATACAAACATATATACATATATATATATATATATATATATATATATATATATATATATATATATATATATATATATATATATATATATATACATATATATATATATATATATATATATATATATATATATATATATATATATATATATATATATATATTTATATATATATATATATATATATATATATATATCAGGTTTGGTCCGGAAGCAGGAGCGATCACTCTCGATTGCTGACCACGTAAATAATATTTAGTTGCGAAAAGCTGGCCAGTTTTTTTAGTCGTTTTTGAGAACATTTTAAAAAGCAACAAAAAAAATATAATATATATATATATATATATATATATATATATATATATATATATATATATATATATATATATATATATTATTATTATTAAATATATATATATATATATATATATATATATATATATATATATATATAAATATATATATATATATATATATATATATATATATATATATATATATATATATATATATATATATATATATATATATATATATATATATATATATATATATATATATATATATATGCTTTATAGATAAACATCATCGCAATACCTAGTTTACCCCGCCAGATAAACATCATTGCTATTTATGCTTTACCCCGCGATTATAACAGGGTATAAAGCATAAATAACGATGATGTTTATCTGACGGGGTAAACTAGGTATTGGTGCTGAGCCTCTTCGAAACGCCGGTAATAATAAACGCAATTATGAGGAGAAGTTTATCACTACCACTACATAAATTATGATTACACAAAAGCAATATGTTTTTTCTTTATCTTATGCCTCCTCTGAATTTATATTTATTCATTTTGAATACTGATATATCTATACATATCTATTTTTATTTTAAGTATGTTAAATATTTGTATTTAATGTAGATTTATAATTACTTATGTGTCCTGCTTTTTATTTTATTTTTTTGTTACATTTCTTTTACATGCGCGATGCATAAATTATATCTATAGTATCTTTGTTTTTGTTCTGATCCTTTTTCTTTTCCTAAATTTTTCCTTATTTCACTTAGGCTTGACAGCTCGGTCTAGTCTTTTGATGCATATTTTTGCATTTTTTTTAAGAATAAACAAAGATAAGTTAAGTTACAAACACTAGGTCTACAAGACTGAAAATCAGACGGAATCAGCAATATTTTGCTAAATTTCTCTAGAAGGGGACGAAGGGGGCGGTACTGCCACCCATATTTTTTTCCTAAAATAGCCCCTGCCAGCTTCAAACCCCTTCTTTATCTATTAGGCTGGCATAGATGTACCCCTGTGTCATATTGTTTCCTGCTTAGGATGATGAACACTGGATCTTCTTGACTTTTTTGAGGTTTTTGCTTGTGCCTCTTTAATAGTGGCTAACTCTTCCTGTTATCTCTTAATGAGGGTACAGCTCTAAAACTCAGTTTAATGGTTTTGAGACCAGCTGTTAGTTAAGATTTCATGAACTCTTTGGTAGCTATCAGAGAGACTGATCTAATCAACAGTTGTAAAATACCAAAGCATTAACAATGCCATGTTGTGCATGGATGGTGCTCCTGTTAATGCTTTTAGTGGGCATTGTCGAGGCCACATACGGAGCCCTATGTTAAGACTTAATTAACTTATTAATTAACAGGTTAATTAACAGCACAAAAACTAGGTCATATATTGCATAGCTCATTGCTTAGGAGGCCATGCTCTATCTATAAATAAGTCAAGTTCTCTTTGAAATCATGCTAAAAATAACCCAAAATAAACATAATAAACCATCCCCAACACTGTTTTGATATATCATCTCCAACTAACTGTTTTGATATATCTTTTACAAATATTCATGGTCTGCGAAGCGATTTTCTATCAGTTGAATCTTGCAAAATTCAATGGACCAATGTAAATTCTGCTATTTCTTCTTTAAATCTAAGTCTTGATGAGTACTATCCTTCGATTTCAGGGATGCCAAGTCACAAAAAAAACTCCTAATTTGAAAGTCACAAAAACATTACTTTATCCTAGTTTTTGGTATCCAGGAGCTCTAAACAAATAAATAAGTTTATGGACTACTAATAGGAAAAAAATTAATACTTTTAGGTTAAAGGAACAATCATTTTGAACCCGGAGTCCTTAGGTATAATGGCGGACTCCGGGACTCCAGGACTACAGGCTTAAAAATAATAAGTTTAAAGTCATTAATTCTCATGAATTTTTTTCTTATAGCAGATCATAATTCAACAAACATGTTTAGAGCTTCTGGACACTACAGACTTGGAAAAAGTAGAGATAAAAAGCCGGTGTCCTTTTGGGACTATGCATCCCTGTTTGATTTGCAAAGACTTCAATAGTCACATGCTTGACTTGGAGGTATACATATGCACCAATTCACCTATTTTGTTGTGAAATCAGGTTTAAATCCTTTGACCATTCTTTTATGTGCTTCGCTTAACACCTCTTCACTCTATCACCTTTCTCTTTGTTCGTTATTGTTTTGCATTCTTCCCAAGACTTCAATCAAATTGCCCATGCCTTTTCTCTTTACATCTCTGCCAACTTTTTTTATTTGGTGACTTTAATGCTTATCACACTGAATGACTTGGCTCTAACGCCACTAACCCATTTCCTTGACACACTAATCATTTACCTTCACTCCTTGATGTCTTGTCTCTGATCCTAGCTTGTGTTCAGTTTCTTCTTTTTCTCCTTTAGGTGGTTCTGAGTATACAATGATCTCTTTAAATCTCTTACCTCATACTCTCTTTTTGGACTCACCCTATCATCACACTACTTAATACTACCCTTTATGACAATCCTTGGGCTGATGTCTTTTCACTCTCAGCTGATAAATGTGCCTTCTACATAACCTCCTGGATTCAGGCAGTAATGGAAGTTTTTATTCCTTCTTGTCGGATCCAAGTTAAGAACCATTCTACCCCATGGTTTTCACCTTATTTGCCAGCAGATATATCTTATTGTAATCATTTTTAAAAATCTTTTTTAAAAAAACAACTCTCTTGAGTTCAAACAGCTATTTATTATTGCAAGAAATCGATGTTAAAAGGTGTTGTCTGATGCTAAACTTCTTGAGTAATAAAAACAGATAAATAAAAAATTGCCTAACTTGATTTAAATTGATAATTACATCAGCAAAATCTGAGACATATGGTGACATTGCCTGGGTCAATTAAAATGGAACTATCCACCAATCAAAAATATAAATTTTGCTTATTTAATAATTTAATCTTTATGTTTTAAAATATTTTAAAAATATTATCTGAAATTTCTGCTGATCATACTTGATCAGCTAGAATTAATTTTAAAAGATCAAAACACCATTTCTTCCAATCATTGACCTGCTGCTACATCAAATAGTGTTACCTCTACACTGGCCCTATTTGCTGTAAACAATATGCCCTGGGTTGACAAAAAGCAATCACTTTTAAATTGTTTACAATAAACAGATGATTGTAAATCTGATCTCTTTCTGTGACAGCTTGGAGCTAACAGCAACAAAATTTAACCTAAACAAAATGTTTCATAACACTCTTGATACTTCTATATTGATGAATGGCTGAATACAATCCCAAAAGCGATTTTTTTAAACTAGTGGTTTTTGACAATCTGACCTTTCTGGTCATCTTGAATTATCTTCATACATACCTCTCATTAAAATTGATTGCAATATTAGGATCTAAGGTTGCCTTTCTCCATTGTTCTTCTTGAACCATAAAAAAAACTTAATCTTGCATGACTTGGCATTTAGCAAATTTGCATCCTCCTACTGTATCTCTTCCTTCATGCTTAAAACACCTTTAATTGTCTAATAGTTTTCTTTTATTTCCTTCTTCTGTTTTAATTTTTCTTAACTCCAAATTTAAACACTTTACAGTCTTGTTAGGATTAAACTTGTTTAAAACAAACAAAAAAAAAAACAAGTAATAAATCTAAAAACAGTTAGGTCATTCAAACTCAACCACTCGCTTATCAAATGGTTTAGTCCCTATGAATAAAATTGCAATGACCTTTTATTATGGAACAACAATAATAATATTCAACACATAATACTTACGTTTTAAAAAAGTGACAATAACTGATTAAAATATAGTACCATAAAGTATAATAAAACTCACATAAAACTTTAATGTCTTGAAAAAAGGTCTTAGAAACTTGAGTTCTAGAAGAACTAGATGTGCAGCTATATTGAACTGAATCTGTTCTTTGAATATTTGGAAAAACATAATAGCTTGTGTTAGCAATAGAAACATTACTTTTAAATATTTGATAAGTGAGATTAACATTTGCATTTGTTGTGCAGTTGAATGTAACATTTGTGCCTTCAACAGGATTCGGATCTAGATTCGTGAAAAATGGGGTGTCTTGATCTAAATAGTTAAAAACATTTACAAGATACCAGTTTATATTAAACCGTAAATACACACATACATACGCGCATACATACATACATATCTACATGCATATCTAAACATACATAAATACATACATACATAAAAAGATGTTTTAAAAATAGAAAAAGAGAAAAGGTTTGAAAATAGTAAACACAAACTCATAATTTTCTTATTTCACATTTATTACGAGTTCATTTTTATAATTAATATTTATTTTCTTTAGACACAAATTGCATAGCGAAATAAACTTACAATTACAAAATCTCAGCAAAAACAACAACTAATGTCATTGAATTACAAAAAAATATTAATCGCAAGCACTTGCACGCTATCATGGTATCGAAGATTACCAATAATTATTTTTTCATTTAAAGTCATAAAATGTTATTATGACTATGGTTCATTCAAACATTTAAATTTGCTTTTAAATACAAGAAAGCAGTGACTCCAGTTTTGTTGATTTTCAAATTTCTATTATTGTTTGTTGTAACAAAAAAATAATCTTGCTATTAAACCTATTTAACTTACGTTTTAATTAAAAGCAACCAGTAAAGTAAAGAAATCTATTTTCCTTGTTAAATAAATTTCTAGTACCAGTTTGTTATAATTATAAAACATTTTTTGTGTTTAACTTTTATTTCAGAAGTGGTCTTTTAAAAAAGTTAGTCGAGAAAAAATAGTAGATGAGTAAAAAATGATTTTAGTCAATGCAATCACATATTCTGTTGATATAAAATACCAAACAAAAAAAGATAAAAGATTTACTGCTAAATCTATAACTGATCAAAATTTCTAAAGTATCTGACGTAGGCGGCTTTTCAAAATTTTTGTTGACTAAGCACATGTACTACTTGAAGTAGAGTTTGCAGTAAGACTTGATAAGTGATTTAACTTTTCAGCCAAAAAGTTAAATTTTTTAAAGAAATATCATTTGTGGGTGTTAAGCCTAACAAGTTTGTTATTTTTCTAGATTGTACTCTATTTCTTGCTAACTTTTTTTATATAATAGTTGCTGTTGTTGGAATGCATTGCAAAAAAATAATTTGCAAATTTTGAAAAATGAATTTTACAAACAAGTTGCCGAAAAAAATCTCTAAAATCGCTGGAAAAATCCCAATATCAAGAAGTTTTTTTCAATAGACATTTTCGCAGTTATGCAATTGCGTAGTTGTACCAATAACAGCGTTATATTTCAAGGTTTACACAATTAATAAATTAGAGTTTTTTGTTATTTTTCTATTAGTTTTTGAAAATAATTAAGCTAGACAAAACACAGGGGCGTGGTGTCTGTAAAAAGCCTACGCGGAATTTTATTAAAAAAGCCTATGCGGGATTTTACCATATATGATGAATGTAAAGGCCCATACTTGTCCATAAAAAATGACATCTATCTGTCATTTTGACAGATCCATTTTAGAGTGCATTTATTCTATTATTATTTTAATTGTTTCAAAACTATTAATAAATTTCAGTAGTGTATATAAACTTCTTTTATTGAATTTTTTATTTTTGATTCTAAACAGAAAATGAAGCTACATTAATAATATATGTCATTTTTTTGAGCTAATTCATTTTTTAAGACACCTAAGCGTTATTTTTTTTTTTAAAATTAATTAGCCCGGTTTTTATCATTTATATTAAAACGTTGCAATTAATTATTAACTTAAATTTGTATTTTAATATTTATTTTTTGTATGATGGTTTTTATAAATTTCAAACGAATATTTTAGCTTTTTAAATCTCCTTTAAACTTATTTTCTAAAAAAGTTAACATAATAGTTTTTTTAATGCTTATACAAACCAGTATTTTTTATTACACTTTTAAACTTGAGTTATGTTACATAACGTATTCTTTCGCGACAAAGTTTTTCGCTATTAAAAGTGTTTATAAAAGTAATCGTAGAAGCTGAAAAAGATTTATCAATAAATATATATTTTTTTTAGAATATTATATGTAGATACTTTTATATAAATATGTTATATTTATATAAAAGTAATTAAGTATAATATTCTTTGATAATTTAAATAAATTTATTGTAAACAGTCATTGGTTTATTGTAAACAGGTTTATTGTAAACAGTCATTAAAATTAATTAGTTTTATTATTTAATAAAGTAATAAGTAGACAATTATTTATTATTTAATATATTTATTATAATTATATGTTATTTAATATATTTATAATAACAAAGCATTTTGCATGGTTAAGCATTTTTTTTAAAATGTAATTTAAATATATTTTCCTTTTCTAATTTTAGTTTTTTGAGCTTAATTTTTTTCTTTTTTTATAAAATTATCATTTAAATTTGTTTTTTATATTCAGCACATTTTTAAAAAGTCTTAAGTTGTCAAAAAAATCTGCTGTAGTCAAGTTAAAAAAACAAAATATATGTTAAGCATATAGGAATGGGGTTCGTCATAAGAATAAATATTTCTTGTGACTATATCTATTGCTGTTTCGTCAATACACACCAATAAGTTGAAGTTATTAATACAAAACAACAAGTTGAGGTTTTTAATACTTCAAAACTAAAATGGTAACACTGCGCTGCAGCGACAACGCTTTTGTTTTGTTATTTTTAAAGTACAACTTTGCTGCCAAGTTGTAAACAAATATGGTTTTTCTTTTTATTGTTTGAAGAATAGCTATTAACATTAAATTAATAAATCAAAGATTTTAGTTTTATTATGTAATAATATTTATTTTATTATAATATAAATTATATTAAATTATATATTTAAAAAAAAAGTGAGAAATTGTTTTTATAGATAGTTTACGCTTTTGATTAATCCTACATTTTAACTAGCATTTTTGCAGAGCATAAACGCACCACAGCGCTCATACTTTGAAAATAAAAAGTTTTCATATTGCAGTTTTACTTAGCAGTTACTTAATTGAAAAGTTTTTCATATTTTTCCAAAAAAATGCTAATCAGTTGTTTTTTATTTCAAAAATAGATATTTTAATAATAAATAGATTTTTTTCAGAATGTCAAAAAAAGTAAAAATTGCTAAAAGGCCCATACTTGGATTAAAAGTGCTAAAAGGCCCAAATTTAAATAAAAAAGTGAAAAGCCCATACGAGAATCCCGCATGGCCTCTAGAGCCACCACGCCCCTGACAAAACATATTGCATTACTGTTGATACTCCTATATTGACAAATAGCAACATTTCTACTGAGAACTGGAATTATCTTTTACTATTCTTTATACATACCTCTTAGGGAAATCATAAATACAATCAATTGCAATGTCTAATAATTACATGGATCTAATAAGATTGGGATCTAATAATACATGGATCTAATAAGATTGGGATCTAATAAGATTGCTCCTCTTTAATTGTACTTGTTATTTTCTTGATCCTTTTTTCCCTATAAACTTTATCATGTTGGCTACTTAAAAGAGCTGTCTTCACTTGAACCTTAAAAAATAACTTTATTTTGCCTGACTTGGCATTTAGAAAATTTGCATCTTCTTACTGTACCTATTTCTTCATGCTTAAAATACTTAAAATACTTTCATATGTCTAATAGTTTGTTTTTTTTCTTTCTTTCTGATTAACGTTTTTCATTCAATTTAAATAGTGGTTGTTTACAGACTTGTTGGAATTAAAACAAAAACAATATAGCAAGAAAATAAAAAAAGTAAAAAGCAGACTCATCTCAACAGGGTAACTTTTCTAATATGTTTTTAAGTTATGCACAACTTAATTTTAAATATTTTGCAATACTATGAAATTAATTCTTGAAAATTAACATTAAAATAAAGAACCAAGCAAAATACAAACTAATCAGTGCTTCAATAAATAGTTAGGACGAATCATTCTTTGTAACTTTTCTCATCTAATCAAACTATATTCAAACTATTCTCTCAGAAGGAAGTAGAGCCTATTTTATCTACTTTTTAAAATATTAAAAAATTCAAGCTAGTTGATTATTTTAAGACAAAACAAAAATTTTAAAAGAAAACTTTTTAAAAAATCTGTTTTGCTTAAGAAATGTGGAAAATATTAAAATATTTAAAAAATATTTTATAATATTTGAAAAATATAAGTATATTAATGTTCTTGAATTTGTTAACAATCGACTCCAAAACAGTTAATAAACCTAAAAAAAATGTCATTTAAACGCAACCATTTATTTATCAGTGTACTACAGTAAGGACTCGATATGTTTCCACCTCATAAAAGTGAATTAACTTCTATTGTAGAACAACAAAAATAATATTAATACATTACAACAATTACATTTAAAAAAAGTGACAAAACTGATTTAAATATAACACCATAAAACATAATAAAACTCACATAAAACATTAACGTCTTGAAAAAAGGTCTCAGAAACTTGAGTTCTAGAGGAATTAGATGTGCAGCTATATTGACCTGAATCTGTTCTTTTAATATTTTGAATAACATAATAGCTTGCGTTAACAATAGAAACATTATTTTTAAATATTTGATAAATAAGATTTACAGAGGCATTTGCAGTGCAGTTCAATGTAACATTTATGCCTTCAACAGGATTTGGATCTAGATTTATGAAAGATGGAGGATCTTGATCTAAAAATTTAAAAAAATATTTACAAGTTACCAGTTTTATATTAAACCATACACACATACATGCATGCATGCATGCATGCATACATACATACATACATACATACATACATACATACATACATACATACATACATACATACATACATACATATATATATACATACATATACACATACAACATTAAGGTGTTTTACTTCCGACAATTTTTCAAAAATGGTTACGTTACATGCATAACGGGGTAAATAATGTGCCAAAATAAAGTCAAAAAAATTTTCAAAATTTAAAAATGTTATCTAAAGGTATTATCTATAGGTATATTATCGCCATCTTGAAAAAATTTTTTTTCAAGATGGCGACCTAAAGTTAAAAAAAGCGTTTTTTTACACTTTTTTTAACTTTAAACTTGAATAACTTAAAAAATAATTAATTTAATTTTATGTTACCTGGTGTGTATAATAAAGGTTATCGGATAAACATTTGGCCAAATTTTTAAAAATATTGGTTAATGTCTAGAGGTTGCGGAATTATAAAGTTTTATTTTTTCAACATTTTTTTGCTAAAAAATTGCTTATATGCTTTAAAAAAACTTCACCTTAAATAAAATGCATAATTTATGTTTTGAGCATAACTGACCACTAAAAGTTGTTGGATTATTAAACAGTTTGCAAAATAAACATCTGGACGTATGTATATAAATTTCATAAACTTATAAAAAAAATTGGTTCTTATATCAATTAGCAAAATTGAAATTTTAAAACAATCTTAAATTAGTTGGATAAGCAAATATTTTATTGTAATGATGAACCTAAGAAAAAATAATCAAGATTGGTTAATTGGTTATCCTGAATCCAATAAATTATCAAGTTTCAGTCGTCTACCAACAAAAAAACATTTTTTGGGTAGATACTCTCATTTACATTTTTATTCAAAAGGCGACACTTCTGCAAGAGATATTTTTAAACTTGTTCTTGGTGAGCTTAAGGAAGTTTGGGAAAAAGCTGGAGTACCAATTCGATCAGATAACTCTTGTTTTTCATTACTTACCAAATTGTTTGTGGAAAAGGTGAAAATAAAAAAAATTGATCACGCAAGTCGAGATGTTAAAGCTGGAAAAGAAAAAATTGTCAGATTTTGTAATCAACTTGAGCAACTTTGCGACATTTCAGCAGTAAATGCATATGAACAGTTATTAGTATCACGTAGACCAAAATGGAAAAAGAATTGGGCATTTTATGAAGATCAAAAGAGTAGCAGAAAGTATCACATGACAGGTAGCATTGATCTAAGTGTTTCAAAATTTTTAGAACGTCGAGAAGATAGACTAAGCATAGATTTTTGGAGAAGTTCAACCGAAGATCAAAAATCGAGTGTTTTTGAAGTCAGTGAATTAATGAAGTCAGTAAATTAGTTGAAAGTTCTGATGAAGAAGATCAAAAAGATACAGAGTTTATTCCACTAAAAAAAAGAAAGATGCCTTTAACAAATTCATTAGAGATATCAACAAAGAAGCTCTCAGAAGTAACGGCATTTGTGGCAGATCGATGTTGTTTATCAGTTCGCCAACAACTTCTATTTCAATCCACTATCATCTGCAAAAGCGGAGGCAAACTTGATGAAATCTTTATGTCAGTATCAACTGTGCATTGTCCGAGACAAAATGCGCGGGAGAATATTGTTCTGTCAACTAAAGCTGACTGGGAGATAAACAAACCTAAAAAGGCCATTTTGCACTGGGATTCAAAGCTTTTTTATTTAGACATTGCTCATAATGAAGAATGTGTAGCAGTTCTTATTAGTGGATCTCTTAACGGGTACTTATTTGTTTATTTATATAAATCCTATGTATATAACTAACTTAACTTTTATTTGCAGGCCGAAACTTATTGGTGTACCTTTGATTAAAGATTCGACAGGTAAAACTCAATGTAACATGGCCATGAAACTTGCGCAAGATTGGAACATTCTGGAAAACATTGTTGGTATATTCTTTGATACAACAGCAAGCAACACAGGTAATAAAAAAGGAGCAGCAACTTTAATTGAAATTGAGTTAAAGAGACCTCTCCTATGGTTAGCATGTCGCCATCATCATAATGAGCTACACATCAAACATGCATTTACCGCATTATGAGGAGGTAGCAAAAGTCCAGATAAACCAATTTTTAAACGTTTCCAAGCCGAATTTTGTAGAATCGATATTGATTACTTAAACTTTAATTTTTTTGAATGGCCTACTGATATTAAATCAGAAATATTTAATCAAGCAAGTTTAGTTCTGAAATGGGCTTACCAATGCCTTGAAGAGAAAATATTTCTGCAAGAATATTATCTCGAGTTAATTGAATTAACTATTATCCACCTTGGGGGAAAACTATCAATGGGCAGAATATTCAAAATTTACAAACCAGGTTCAATTCACAATGCGAGATTTATGTCACATTCTATATATATTTTAAAAATGGAAATCTTATCTAATAAATTTATTATGTCCAATAATGAGCAAATTATGATCCACTGCATGGCTAACTTTATTAGTCTTTTTTATTCGATGCAATTTCTCCGCTCAAGGATTTCTGTATTTGCTCCAGTTGATGACTTCAAATTTTTTGTTGCAATGAACTGGTATTAAGAAGAAGATTCATATATGGCAACCGCTGTGATTTCGTCGATTAACCGTCACCTTTGGTATTTAACAGAAGAGCTTGCTATTTTATCTTTATTTAATGAAAAATTGTCAGAATTTACCAGAACAATAATGGCAAAGAAACTTTTTTCTACCCCAATTTTATTTTTCTGAAAATTTCACCAAATGTTCATCTAATAACCTTTGATATATACACCTAGTAACGTAACATAAAATTAATTATTTTTTAAGTTATTTAAGTTTAAAGGTGAAAAAAGTGTAAAAAAAGCTACTTTTTCAAGATGGCGATCTCTAGATGACATTTCTTTTATTTTTGAAAATTTTTTAGACTTTTTTTTGGCACATTATTTACCCCATTATGCATGTAATGTAACCATTTTTGAAAAATTGTCGGAAATGAAACACCCTAATACAACATACATACTGTAAATATTAGAATTTTAAAAGTTTAAAACTAATCAGAAAACTTTTATAAATGTTACTTTCTACTTTTCCCAAGCCCAGGTAGAGGCAAACCTAATTAATACTTAATGCATAAATTACATTTTTACTATTTAATATTATATAAAAACTATATAAAGAGGCAAACTATTAGAGCATTAATAACTACTATATAAATAAAAAAATAAAAAAATACTATTGTAAAAATAAAAATAATAATACTGTAAAAGTTTCTATAATGGTATTGCTGAAAATTTGAGTGTTATAATAACAAACTCATTCACTCGAAGTACAATTAAAAAAGTCCTTTCAAGTCAATTCCAATCAGTCCAATTACAAGTCACTTTCTCTTATTTCAGTATAACTTGTCACTTTCTAACTAGATGTAACTTCCATGTAGTTAGTCATTCTGACTTAAAGCTGTTTCAGTAAAACTTTTTGCTCTCTAATTTGAAGTTATTTCAGTTTTGAAAATTTTTGTAATCAAAAATATTTTTACTTGCAACAAGAAAAAAAAAATTCAACTATATGTGAAACTCTATAAGCAAGAAACAATAATAACAATAACAGTTTAAGGTTTGTCTTTCTTTTTATTTTTAAACAATTCAATGTAGATTTGCTATAATATGAATTAACAATGCAAAAAATTTTAAAAATACTAAATACAACAACTAAAATAATAGTGTAACAATATTTACATGGCTTTGACAAAATTTGACAAATAATTTTAGTAAAAAGTATGAAACTAATGATACTTTTGAATATATTTATATAATTATAAATATATATATATATATATATATAATTATATATCATATAATTATATGATATTTCAGTTTAGAAAATGCTTAACATTTCTTAATTAGATTTCTTAAACCAATTGTAAAAACAAGAATTTTATCTAAAAATTGATCATGCTCCACACGATGTAATGCATTTAATGTAATACTAAAAATTGATCATGGTCCACACAATGTAATGCATTTTTAGAAAGAAAAAAAAATCAATTTCGATTTTTGTTCTATTTATTTCTAATCATTAACTAATAAAAAAGGTTTTATGTAAATAGAAAAAACCTTGTTAAGAAGCATTATGTCATGTGAATTTTATGTACAAAATGGCAATTTCACATACATAATAAGCCATTTACATTACGAAAAACTTTAATCAATTAGATTGTTACAGTCTTTTGAAATAGTTTATGCAGAAAGCAGTGATTAATTGCTGTAAAAACACATTTTCACCGTAATTATGAATAATTTTTTTTTTTGATAAAAAAACAGAAAGTTAAATTAATTTTTTCTACTTTTTTAAAAAATTTTATTTAAATTTTTTTTTATTATATTTAAACTAAACTTATTATAAATTTTAATGAATTTAATTTTATTATTTTAAATTTCTCATAAATTTAAATTTTTTAAAAAACTTATATTTTTTTTTCTGGTAAAATTTCTAAACTATGTTAAAGAAAATTCTTTTTAATAAATTTAATTCAAGTTACTTTTTTATGTTCATTTTATATTTAACTGTTTTGTTTATTTATTTATAGTTACATATCAATAACATTTTTTCATCTTGTTATGAAAGCGTTAATATACAAAGTGCTTAATGCACATATAACTGTATTGCCAGAAAAACCCTAATCAAGCCCTTTGAAATAGCTTTTTAGCAAAAGTTTTTCCAATATCATTAAGTTTAGATTGACCATAGAATGAACGTCGATTAGAAATGATTGATTAGTTAATGAGAAGTTTGCAAAGAAAGCAAACATAAGATAATGTTGTGTTATGAATGTTTTAAGAAATAAATAGTTTTTTAAAATAAGGAAATTTATTTTTTTCAAAAAAAATTTAAATTTTATTGATATTTTTTTTAATAACAGTAATGTTCAACATAAAGATATTAGGACTTTAAA